CAGTCCGCTGAGAGTGCGGTCCCCAGCAGGGCCCACCGGGCACCCGCTTACTCTCAGCCTAAGCTTGTCTCTGCGGTCCTCGGCCCAGTGGGCATTTAGGAGCTGAACCTGAGCCTCCTGGCCGGTCCTTCTGTTGGTGCCAACATCTGGGACTTTGGGACTGGGGATCGGGTTGCTGCAGCGGCCCTTGCTAGGGCTCTCCGCCGGTGTTGGCCTCCTCTGCCCACCAAGGTGTGAACAGGGCCCTGGACCGGACTTCACGGCTCAGCCCACTGGGTGGGTGGGCAGAGCCGCAGCCCAGGGCCTCTCTGCCTGATCCCTGGCTCTGGGTGTGAGGTTGTATGGCATGTTCCTGCGGGGGTGCTTCTCCACCTTGGGGTGCTTGGCCCAAACCACAGCTGCTGGGCTTCCTTCTGGACCTGGGCCCTCTGGGCCCCTGCGTGGTTGAGGGCTCAGTGCTTCTGGTGCCCACTGAGGACTGAGGGCCGCTGTCCTCCTCTCTGGGCAGCCACTGCCTCGTCTGGGATGGGACCCCGGACCTTGCCACTGTTTGAGGCTGCAGGAAGAAGCTAGGCGTGGGTGCCTCTCCTCAGGCGTCTGGCCTTGTGGAGCCTCCTCCCAGTGGCTCTGTCGCCTTCTTTCCTGTCTCCCTGGTTGGAGTTTGGGTGGGGGTAGGTGCAGCTGTGGCAGGGTGCACAGCAGGGACAGCACAGCTCTTCCCTGGGGCACAAGCCAGAGGTGAGGGGTGACATAGTGCTAGAAGGCTCCTGGCTGAGGGGAGAGTGAGATGCAGGGCCACGGGAAAGAGGGGCAGGCTCGTGACTCGGGGGACAAACAGACACGACAGAGACCCCACGCAGTGCTCACTGCCTGTCTCGGCTGCCCTGTTGCCCTCCTGTAGCTAGGGCCCAGGGTGAGCAGGCCTCTGCTGACTACAGTGAAGGGTTGGCCCGAGCTGTGTGTGACTGGCCTGGGCAGAGCCCCCCAGCCCCCATCTGGTAGGTGGAATGTCGGTGAATGGATAGCTAGGCCATAGGAGGCCGAGGGAGCCCCTGCCGATGGTCCCAACTGTAAAAGTGCTAGCTGGGCCACTGAGTGGGGGAGGAGAGGGGGCCGTGGGCTGCGGAGGTGGCTGGGCCAGAGAGGGTAATGCTCAGGTTGCCCCCCGGGGAGAGGGGATATGGGTACTGGGGCCACGCTGGGGCTTCCTTCAGCCCTGCTTGGCTGTGGGAGAGGAAAGACCATGGTTCTTTTTCGTTTCTTCTTGCATTCAAAAGATACTTGTTGATCTCCTTGCAATGTTCTACCTGAAAGACCTTCTCCTTTGCCTCAGATTGGATATTAAAGCTGAAGCCCGTTTCTGTGTCCTGAGGTGGCGTTCCAGTCCTGCTCCCAGCCAGAGCCCGCAGTGCCCACTATGACCTGGGCCCTGGTGCTCCTCCTTCACCCAAGCACTTCTTGGAGACTCAACTTTGTTTTGTTTTTTTTTTTAATAATTTTATTTATTTATTTTCCCCCCCCAAAGCCCCAGTAGATAGCTGTATGTCATAGTTGCACATCCTTCTAGTTGCTGTATGTGGGTCGCGGCCTCAGCATGGCCGGAGAAGTGGTGCGTCGGTGTGTGCCCGGGAGCCGAACCCGGGCTGCCAGCAGCGGAGCGCGCGCACTTAACCACTAAGCCACGGGGCCGGCCCTCAACTTTGTTTTTTTTTTTTTTTCATTATCACCTGCTAA